AACTACCCTGCCGGGATTGGCCGCTTGTTACAATGCTGGGTCACAGTCTGTTTACACTTTGGGCTAGGTTACAGTTCCCTACGCTCAGAGAAACCTTTAGGCCAAACTGAAAATTCATACAGAGGCAGCTTCAGGCCAAACAATCCAACGTTAACAACCTCTGGCCATCTGAACTCGGGAGCCTGCCTGGTGCGGATGTGTGCGAGATGGGGCTGGGATCCCTGGTGCTCTGGTCCTTGCTTGCCGCTGCCACCTGCTAGTGAAGTTCACGGACTCTGCAAGGCCCAGCTCACATGCCCCCTCTTCCAGGCAGGCTTTGTGGATCCAAACAACTACAACGCACCCCAGTGTGGGATGAGCACTTCCAGAGAATGGACAAATCCAACATTCGTGACAGGCTGGCAGAGACGGCATTGGAGCCGGCTTCTGATGGAGAAATGGGACTCCAGCCTGCGACGCAGCACAGACAGAGCCCCCAGGAAGAAAGGAAGGCACCGGCAAACTCGGGGCTGTGTGGCTGGGAGAATGGGCGTGTGGGAGGCAGATGGACAGTGGTCACCAAGGGCCTTGAGTGACACGGGAGGGGTTTGTGCTTCATCCTCCCGGGCTGTCGGGGACTGGGCAGAAGCAGGATTGTGATATCGGGATGAAACGGGTAAGCTGCCTGGGCCCCACCTTCCCCAAGGCAGGGACACAGGGTGACCACAGGATGGTGTGAGCAGTGGGGAGGTAGAGCAGGCAGCTCTGGCTCCAAGGCCAGGGGCAGTGGGCATGGGGCCCAGCCCTGAGTCCATTTCTCCTCCCAAACCCATTTCCTGGCCCCTGCACATCCCACCCTCCCACCCCACCCCCCACCCCTGCACACACAGCCATCCTTGCCCTGGGAAGGGCTGGGCGGCAGCTCCAGGCAGCTCCCGCAGTCACCATGGATAGAGGCCTGCAGCTCAAGCTGTGTGTCTGGCCTCTGTGGTCAGGTCTTTGTGTCTGCACAGTGGCTCTCTTTGTCCCGAGCAGCCTCCCCCACCGCCCCCTTGCCCTTGTGTCTCTCCTGCCTGTGTCACAGAAAGCACAGCCCTGCTCTCTGCCTCCCGCTGGGAGCCTCTGTGCCCTGAGCCAGCTGCTTTCTTCCTCTGAGCTCCATGGACAGGAGCTGTGGTAAGGAACTGACATCCTGGCAAGAATCGCTCTCCACCTGGCGCTGTGGCCCTGACGTCCCCGGGGCCCCTGGCAGCCTCCTATGTGCTTACCCACCTCATTCTCACCCTGCCCAGCCAGGGGGCTCCCGGTCTCCCATTTGACGGACGAGGAGACCCAGTCTGAGGACAAGGCTGGCCTCATGGGGGAGTGGCCTGTTCACAGGCCGAAGAGCCCTGGACCTGGCCTAATATCCTACTATCACCACCTTGAAATTCTTAGTGAGTTTTGAAATCGGAGTCCAGATTTTCATGTTGCCTGTGTATCCCACAGCTTCCTGACGCTGTAATAAAATACCAGAGGAGGTAACTTGTACAGAGAAAGGGCTCATTTAGCTCACAGCTCACTGCTGGTCTCCTCAGTTGAGCTGGTGATTGGCTGACGGAGTTCCCATGGTGGCACCTGGCATCATATGATGAGAGATGCGAGTCTCTCTTATAAAGCCACCAGGCTGCAGTCACAGGCTCCACCCTAATGACCTAATCTGGTCGAATCACTTCCCAAAGGCCCCGCCTCTACACACCATGGTTGGATTAAGTTCCCGCTGTCTCAATGTCATTAACTTATGACTTTGTGGTTGAAAGTCCTACATGAGCTCTTGGGCCAAGTCACATTCAAATCCCAGCACACTGGAGCCTGCAAATTATGGAGCGGGTCCTGCTTGGAGGGAGGTGCAGCAGGGGCTTGCCCAGGCCTGGACCAGGCTTCCTGCTTCTTGAGGCTGCCTTCCTTGGGTGCCTGCATCCTGCCATGCCAGGAACCAGAGCTTGCAGTCTGCATCTGGCATCAGAGCCTTGGCTTCTGCTACAGAAACCTGAGAAGCACAGTTCCCAGCTGGCGAGGGAGGGAGGACGGTGCAGGCCGTCGCCGAGGTCCAGGGTGCAAGGGAGACAAGCCTGCTGGAGCCAGCTAGCCCTGTGTAAACAGAGCCGCCAATGTGGGTCCCAGCCCCACAGCCCAGCCACTGCTCGGGGAAGGCTGCAGGGCCTTCCCTCCCAGCTGGAGACCCCTGCACACTCACTGCCTGGCTTGGCTGTTCACTGCTCCTTCTGGGACCTGAGTTGGCTCTGGTGCAGTTTAGATGAGATAGCACAATGCCTAGCGCAAAGACGGAGATCACTATATTGAGGACTCACTTCTTCCTTCGCAACTGATACTCACGAGGCCATGGCAGGGACAGAGCTAAGTGCCGGGGCTTTAACTGCAAATAGGGTGGACTCTGGCTCTGCCCTCAGAGAGACCCCCCTTGGAGGGGAGATGGACCCTGGTCACATGCAGTAGGGCTCTGGGCTGGGTTTCAGGGGAGCCACGTTAGTCAGCAGGGGAAGGAGGCCAAGGGCAGGAGGCACGGGGTTGGGGGAGGAACTCGGGCCGAGGGAGCGCCCAGGGCTGGTCAGGGGGCTCGGGAGGGGAAGGCCGGGGCAGCCTGGAGAGCAGAGCCTTCAGACCGCTGAGAGTGTGAGGCAGGTGACAGCAGTGAGGGGCAACAGAGACGCCGCCCTAGCCTGTGAGCCAGGGGCTGGAGCCTGGGCCAGGATGGCATCCTCAGAGCAGAAGCTTTGCCCAGCGAGAGAAGAGAAAGCAGCTGAGAAGGCCTGAGTGACCCAAGTGCATGCCCAGAGTCGGCGAGGCAGGAAGCCACCTAATGCACCAGGAGAGAGGCCGAGGCTGCCGCAACCCCAGCCCTGCCCCCATGGTCATGGGGACCAGTGCTGTGCCTGGGCCCTCACCCTCAGCCACCGTGGCTGCTCCGTTCCTGGCAGCCTCACTCAGTGCTGTCCCACCCCCTCTCACAGGGCCTTCTGTGTACACCTCCATAGCCTGGCAGCATCAAAGGTCTAATCTATAATTTTCAATAAATGCTTAGCAACAAATGTAAACATATAAAACTGTCAAAGCTGGCTGAAGGAGGGCAGGGGATCCCCGGGCAACCCCAGGTAAAGGGGACTCTGCTGGGGCATGGGAGGCCTGCTGGACTTGACTTCTGAAGCCCCTGAGGGAAGGGCCTGCGGAAGAGGTCAGGGGACCAAGCTCCAGCCCCTCCAGCACCGGGTGATGGACCAAACCCTGCAGCAGAACTGAAGGCAGGCCGCAAGTAAGGGGTTACTATTGCTCCATTTTGTAGGGGAAGAAACTGAGATTTAGAGAGGAATCATGGGAGAAGTTGAGGCAAGACTAGAATCTGTTTTTTATTTATTTATTTGAAAAGCAGAGTGATGAGAGGGGTGGAAGGGAGGATATTCTGTCTGCTCATGGATTCACAAATGCCCACACTTGCCAGGGCTGGGCCGGGCCAAAGCCAGGAGCTGAGAACTCCATTGGGGTCTCCTGCGTGGGTGGCAGGAACTCAAGTACTTAAGCCATCTTCTGCCACCTCCCAGGGAGCTGGATCACAATCAGAGTATCCGGGACTTGAACCAGGCACTTCCGACAACGGATGTGGGCATCTCCGGCAGTGGCTTCACCGAGCCTGGAATCTAAACCCAAAGTGGTAGGGTTCGAGGACAAGGCCCTTTCCTATGCTCCTCAAGCCTCAGTGACCACCGGGTGTGGGAGCTTAGGCTGCCTATCTCAGGGTGCAACGTCTTCAACTATGAAGTCAGGGAGCTGGACGGATGCAGGGGCAGAGCCCTGGACAGCTGCCAGCCTGGTGTGTCTGCTGAAGGCCAAGGCCAAGCCAGGGCCTCATCTTCCTATCGACAGAGTTTTCTCCTGAGCTGACTGTAGTGAAGGTAGAGACTTGGAAGAGGGAGGTGGAAAAAGAAGCTTGGCTGGGGCTCCAGGGCCCAAGGGAACTTCCCCATACTGAGACCCCAAGCTGGGGCTTTGGCAACACCTAGGCCCTGGCAATTGCACGGGCCAGCTCGGACAACAGACGGAGGCGGCTGGACAAGGGCCCAGGGAGGCTGCAGGGGTGGAGCAGCGTTCACCCTGTGCTTGCTCCTTGCAGGGCTGCAGCCAGCACCCTCCCAGGGCCCCTCCCAGGGCCCCTCCCAGGGCTGGCAGCCGGGTCCCCGTTGAATGCTGTGGAGCCCAGCAGGACCCAGCTCCTTGGCTCCGGAAGAGGGCTCCTCTGCCCTTGTCCAGCCCCGGAGCACTCGGAGTCTGCTGTGACAGGACACCGGGGGCGGGAGGATGTGTGTGGCTCCATTTCACAGCAAAGGTGGCCCTGAGAGGACTAGAAGTGAGCCAGGCTCTTGCAAGGGTCTGTAGCTGGCTCAGCAGCCTCACGCCTTACTCCCACACAGATCAGAAGGGGGGGGCGGGGGGCGGACACTACATGGGGCGGGGCGCCCTGCCGGCTGAGAAGCTACTCAGAATGTGGGACCAGAGAAGCAGCCCGAACTGTTGCAAGCATTTGGGGAGAGGGGGAAGCATCCCCGACGCCGCCCCTCTTTCTTCATTAAATAGGAATGTTCAGGGAACTTCTAAGGGAGATAAAGAAAGGGTCGGGGAACACCGGGAGGCTCCCTCCGTCCACTCCGGAGCCGGGCGCTCGGCTTTCCTGCCCAGGGCGGTGGCGAAAGACCCCAGCCGCAGCCTCAAGCAAAGGAGGCGCGTCGCCGTCAGACGGGGCCTGAGGCGGGCCCGACGTGGGCAGCGGCGAGGAGCGGAGGCCCCGCAGCGGGCAGCGGCAGGGGCCGCTCAGGCGCTGGGCAAACCTTGCAGGGCTTCGGCGCCGGAGAAACCCTCTCCTCACGCGCTGGCTCTCTCGCCGCCGGCCCCTGCCGGCGCAGCGCCCCTTGCGGACGCGCTGACCCCGCGGCGGTGGCGCTGGGCGGCGTCCCGGGGCGGGTGGCCCGGTGTCTGCCGGGGCGGTTGTGGGGCGGCGCCAGGGCCCGTCCAGAGTTCGCCCTGTTCCCCGCCCGGCCGGGCCGCGGGTGGGGAGCGAGGCGGGTCGGGGGCCGCGGGGCTCCCGGGCGCGTGGGTCCCGCGGCGGTGGGTCCCGCGGCGGTGGTGGCAGGACGCGGGTGCCAGCCACCCCGAGCTGCGGCGACCGCACCCCGGGCGGCCGAGCGCGGCTCTGAGGGGCGGGCCGCCCGCCGGGGCCGGGACACCGGGAGAGGTTGGCTGGCGCAGCTTGGGGACGCGGCCGGTGAACCCGGCGCGGGTGCCGACTCGCGCAGAGGGGGAGCCGGCAGACGTGGGTGGTGTGAGCGCACCGGAGGACGGAGGCTGAACTTGGTGTCCCCGGGAGCGCCGACCTCGGTGAGTGGGGACAGCTACCCCGGGAGCGAGAGCGCGGGCCCTCGCACTGGCACGTGCGAATGTGAGCCGCTGCGTGCGTGCGCCCCCGGGGCCGCCGCTGAACTTTTGGAACTGGAGTGTGTGTGCGCACTCCGGCTGGGCGCCGGTGTGGAGTGGGGCCGGAGCCGTGGGAGCTGCGCTGCGCTGCGCGCTGGTCCGCCCCCGGGGCGGGGGTCCACTCTGGGTGGCCTTCGCGTCCTGGGGGTCTCTAAGGCTGGGGGGCAGGGGCGGGGCGCAGCAGGTGCTGTGGGAAGGGTCAGTTAGGAGAGAAGCCCGCCCCCGGACTAGGGCTACCAGCGGCAGATCTGGGACTCTCCAAAAGCGCTCCCAAGGGCCAGGCCCTGCTGAGGAGGGACCTGTGGGGGCCAGGACTGTTGTTTCTCTAAACATAGGGTCCCCGGCTTCCCTGAGCCCCCGCCCGGAGGGTCTGGGACCCAAGTTGGAATGAGGGTGAGCTTTTGAGGGTAGGGGGAGGCCGAGGAGGTGCCAGTTATCTGTGGGGGAGGGGGAGGAGGAAGGAGGGTCTGCCTACCCCAGAGCCCTGGAGGCTCAGAGACCTGTGTCCCAGCCTCGCCTGGCCGCCATGGGACTCTGCTTTATAAGGAGGGAATGATAACACAAATGTTAATAATGACACAGAAGCTGAGGGCTCATGTTCAGCCCCAGTGCCCATCTGGGCCGGCCTGCAGCTTGGGGGTGGGGACACAGGTGTCACTCCCTGGAAGGAGCCTCCAGAAACGGGCGTCACCCTGTGCCCCCACCCCAGGACCACTCGGAACCCCTCAGCCTGCCAACCCTTCTGGCCACAACCTGGCGACTGCACCCTTCAATAATAGCAGGTGACCTCTGCTCTGGTGCACACAAGGCTGTTACCACTCTCTGGCTCAGGACATTATCTTCCATGCCCACTGCCTGATAGGCCCTGCAGCTCTCATCCTCCTCACCTGAAGAACTGCTCAGCCAGGGCCCCAGTTCAGATGCCCCCCCCTTCCAGGAAGCCTTCCTTGATCACCCCCATCAGGTTGGAGCCTCTTCTGGTGCTGTGAGCTCTGGTCCTTCTTACCCAGGACTATCACAGTCCATGTCTATCATCTGTGTCCCTCGAGCCAGGTACAGGGCCTCCGGGAGGGCAGAGACTGGCCCTCACCCGCCTCTGTGCTGCCAGCACGCTGCGCAGAGCTGAGAGCAGGGGCGCTCCCTCTACCCTGCCTCCCGCCGCTGAAGAGCTGCCTGCAGCAGAGCTCCGTGCCGTTACAAAGACGGGGAACAGGGAGCAAACTTATCTGCTAGGGGGCACAGGCTGCCGGAGCACTGTGGTCTGGGCCGCTGGGAGTGGGGGTGCAGGCTGAAAACCTGGATTCTCCGGGAGGCAGTCGGGAGCCGTGGACGGATGAGCAGGGGGGAATCGTGGTCAGAGAGCATCTCAAGAAGCCTCTGTGCGTGGGGGGGGGGGACCTGAGAAGTGCTGCGGCAGGTGAGGCCGGGCCACCCCAGCCACGCAGGCCCTGGCCCCAGGCCCAGGCTCCCCCCCACCCCGAGGCCTCTGATGCTCCTTCTGTGGAATCTGGGGACCCTTAGGACTCCCCCCCCACGGGAGCCAAGCAACCTTGCAACTGATCCCCTTCTAGCTCTGCCCCCAACTTGCTGGGTGCCCCTGCCCTGCTAGCTCTGAAAGGACATCAGCACCAGTGAGGTCCTGAGGGGGGGGTGGGGGGCTGGCGTGCAGGGCTTGTCTCTCTCTTGCTTTATCTTGAAGATTTTTAAATTAAAAAGTTTTTATTTGAAACGCAGAGTGACAGAGAGAGCGTGAGATCTTCATTTGCTGGTTTACTTCCCAAATGGGATCTCCAGCGTGGGTGGCAGGTGCCCGAGCGCTTGGACCATTTTCTGTTGCTTTCCCAGGCGCGCATTCGCAGGGAGCTGGATCAGAAGCAGAGCAGCCCTCCGAATGGGCTGCCAGGGTCACGTGGCGCCGCTGTATCTGCTGCGCTGCAGTGCCAGCCCTTGTCACTCTTGTCTCTGGCCTGCATTGAACTGCCTCGGGCGCTGCTCACAGGGTCGGCCGAGCTGGGCTGCGGAGAGAAGCTGTGGCCTGTCCTTCCCCATTGCCCTCCTGCGCTGGATGCACGGGGCTCCCAGGCTGGCCCCTGGGTCCCCTGAGGACTGGTTGAGAGAGAGTGACCTCATTAGAGCTTTGGTTTCGTGGCTGTAGCCATTGTGCCTCTGTAACATCAGCTTTGCCATCTGTACATTGGGAATATGATCCTGCCTCTTTGAACACAGAGCTGCTGCGAGGATTCTTAGGACCGTGGCCAGGAAAGGGCGTTGTAAGCTGTGAAGAGCTTTAAAGAGCAATGCACAGGGCGAGCGTGTGACACCCAGAGGCGGAAACGTGTTCTGAAGACAACATGGCACAGCAGCCATAGCAGGGATTGTGCTAGTGACAGGGATTTTTAAAAAAACAGTCATTTATTTAAAGATTTTTATTTATTTGGAAGGCAGAGTTACAGAGAGACAGAGGGAGGGAGGGAGAGGGAGAGGGAGGGAGGGAGAGAGAGAGAGAGAGAGAGAGAGAGAGAGATCTTCCATCTGCTGGTTCACTTCCAAATGCTGCAAAGGCCAGGGCTGGGGCCGGGCCAAAGCCAAGAGCCAGGAGCTTCCTCTGGGTCTCCCATATGGGAAGCAGGAGCCCATGCACCTGGACCATCTTCCACTGCCTTCCCAAGCCATTAGCAGGGAGCTGGATTGGAAGTGGAGTAGCTGGGACTCGAATCAGCGCCCATATGGGATGCTGACACTCCAGGCAGTGGCTCTACCCACTACACCACAGTGCCTTGCCGGAGTTATGTAATTATTTGAAAGGCAAAGTGACATAGAGGGAAAAACAGAAATAGAGGGATCTTCCAGTGCACCAATGGGTTCACTCCCCAAATGGCCACAAAGGCCAGGCAGGGCTGGGCCAGGCCAAAGCTGGGAGCCTGGAACTCCATCCAGGTCTCCTGTGTAGGTAGCAGGGGTCCAAGCACTTGGGCCATGTTCTGCTGCCTTCCCAGGCACATTAGCAGGAAGCTGGATTGAAAACTCACTAGCCAGGACTCAAACCAGTGCTCCAGTATGGGATGCCGGCATCCCAGGTGGCGGCTTCACCCGCTGCACCGCCGTGCCTGCCCCAGGGATTGAGCATCTCCCCCCGTGCCCGCTCTGCAGAGGCAGCTTCCTGCTCAGCGTTTCTAAAAGTCCTCCTTTTTATCCCCCAGCAGCCCAGGAGTGAGGAATGGTCATCTCCATTGTGCAGGGGAGGAGACGGAGGCTTGCACAGTCCTCTCCCAAGGTCGCACGAGGAGCCCGGATGAAGCCTCTCCTCTCCTCGCACTGCCTTGCTGGGCGCAGTTTTTGGCCCATAGCTTCCTACTGGGCTCCCTGGTTCTCTGCCTGGCCTCTCCCTGCGGCCCCGTGCTGTGGGGGCGGGTGCTGTGGGGACCTCTTTTCCTAAGGGCAGTTGCGGGACTAGACCAGGCCATCCCCATCACCCGGCACCGGTTGGGCCCAGAGCAGGTGCCAGTGAGTGCCCCCTCGGAGAGCCCCGGGGGGTTCCTGAGCAGAGTTCCTCCACTCCCCTGTTGTCCGGCTCCTAGGCCTGAGTCACTCCCAGTCTAGGATGAGTAGCTGGAGTCCCCGCTGGGCAGCTGCATGGCCTTCTGCCCTGTGTTTGCAGCTCCCCAGAGGAGCAGCCGGGCACTGGCGTGAGGCAGGGGCGGGGACTCTCTCGGCCTCCTGGGGCCCGTGGGGCCATGTGCCCTTCCGCCCCATGAGGGGGCTGCCTGGGGTTGACGCAGCTTCCTGATGAGCGCTCACTCTGCCAGCCCCAGCCTGCAGGCCAAGGTGCCTTGCCGTGGCTGGTCTGAGTCAGGCAAGGCTGCTTTAGGACCCAGGTCAGCTCCTCGCCTCTCGCACCTCGCACAGCATCGCTGTGTGTTTAGTCTCTTCCCTTCCAGACCGCCCAGTTCCGTGCACCTCCCTGGTGGCACCATCGCTGTAAAGGTCACTGTGGCCGTGACCTTCCTCTGAAGCACTCCATTGTCCTCAAAGAGGGGGCCAGCTCCACAGCCTGGCATGTGAGCCCTTCCACATGAATTCCTCGGGCCCCTGCGCGTTCCGTGCCACCCAGCGCTTGGCACGTGACCCCTGGCCTCTCCCTGGTGGGCCGCACAGCCACGCCACCGCGTCTGTGACACCTCCTTGTGCCCTCTGTGCCCTCCCGCCTCTTTGTTTGCCTGACAAACTCCTGATGGCCTCTCAAGTTCCCGCTTTGGTGACCCCTCCCCTGGGACGCTCTCCCTGACCACCCCCTCCCAGGATGCAAAGGAGTGGCCCTGAACTCCAAGGCCCCTGAGCTTCCCTTCTCATACCAACCCCGTGGGCTGGGTCCGTGTCCTTGTCTGTATCCGTGTCTGTCCCCTCAGCTGGATCGCTGGGGCCCTGCTGGGCTGGCAGCACATGTGGGTGTCAAGCCAGACACTCGTGGGCGCAGGCGAGCGTTTGCTAGGACCGTGTGACTCGCAGCTTTACTCTCCGTGGTTCTGAGAATCTCCAAACCAAAGATTTTCGGAAGCTGCGAGTAACTGAGTTGAAGCAACGTTTTTCATTTACCCCTAGAACCAGAGACTCCTGGAGGCGGGCTCTGGGAACCAGCGCGTGGGGGCCGGACAGCACCTAGGCAGCCCACACCCTGCTTGCTTTCGTGTTTGTCCTTTCGCCAGCTTGTGACCTCTGTTCTCCCACGCAGGTCCCTTCCTGCACCTCCTGCGAGCTGAGCACAGCTCCTCCCCCAGGAACCGCCTCCCGCTGCTCTCCTGGGGTCCCAGAGCGCCTGCCCGCCCTCTTGTCCCCCACCCACTCCTCGTGAACAGCTCTGTACAGCACGGCTCAGAGGGAGGGGCTGACGTGAGCAGGGCTGAGCAGGTGCTTTCGGGTTTGAGGCTGAACCCAGGGTCCTTGGCCCTTGAGTCTGGGGGTGATGGGAGGGGTGGAGCCCCGGGCACTGAGGCTGGGGAGCCGCTCAGTTCTCTAGCTCCTCTTCTAGCTGGCTGCACTGCGTTGGGGGGCAGAGGGGGCGGGGTTCGGAGTCCTTCCTGGGTTGGGGATGGGGTGCCCCACCCCACACTGAAAATGATCCCCACGCCAGACCTCGACGATGGCCCTTCCTCCTTAGGAGCCCCTGCAAGTTCCCAGGTCTGCAAGCCTGGCTCATCTGATCGGATGCTCTGAGCTCAGCCTGAGCAAGCGGCCCCCAGGATTCCAAGGGGCCCCCAAGAAGGGGAGCCTCACCCCAGAACGGCAGCAGCTCATACCCTCAGAGGGTTCCCGTCCGCTGTTCCCTGGCCCAACCCTGGGCCCATGGTACAGAAGCAGGGGCCCCACTGGCCGTCAGCTGCCTGGAGGACATTTGGGAGGGGCCGGGGGTGGCTTCTGAGCTCCTGAGCCTGTGTAGCCCCCCCTTGCTCTCCCCATGTCCCTGAAGCTGCAGGGGTGCTGAGAAATTCTCCAAATGTACCCACCCCCTTTCGCCTTGGCTTGTCCTCTCTGCTCCTCCTCTCTCCACACCCACCTGACTCCTACTCATCTTCCAGAGTGCAAGTGTCAGGTGTCCTCTCCTCCAGGAAGCCTTCCCTGACCACCTCTCCATTTCTCCTTGGGGCCTCCTTAGCTTCCTTTAGGCCTGATCATCCTGAGATGGCATTGCCGGTTTCTGGGTGTGCCTCTCCCCACTTTGACCATGAGTTCATTGAGATCGGGGAAGGGTCGGACCTGCCCCAGAGTGCCCACGTGCTCTGTTCAGGGACAGGCATAGATAGGTTTTTGCACCTGCGGGGGGCCCGGGACTGCCTGTCCCCTGAGGATGGCCTTCAGGGTGGGGAGCCTGCTCCGTGGTCAGCCTGGCCGTGGCATTGCTGCCTGCAGCCCCAGCCTATATTCCCATGCTGTTTCCTGCCCCTCTTGGCTTCCCAGGATGCCCCAGTCCTCCTGGCTTCGCCACCTGTCGACATCTCACCTCTCTTAATTATGTTGTAGAGAGGTCACAATCCTCTCACTTAACTCTCCCAGCAACCCTCGGGGGTGGGTGCTGCCGGGGCCTGTGAGAACGGTGAGGTTGGGGTTCTGGAGTGGTGAGCCTTGTCCAGGCTGCATGGCTGACAGTGGCAGAACCGGGACTTCCCACCTGCCCCGTGCCCTCCCTGGTGTTCTGGGCCCAGGCCCTCTATCTCCCCTGCGCACACCATCCCTGGCAGGGGCAGGCAGCAGGGGGTCTCCAGAGCGATACTGGACCCTGTGCACTACCACGCAGGACAGGGTCTGCCAGCTTAGCGGGTGGCACATTCCAGCACCACGCTAGCAGAGGAGATGGAATGCTGTCCAACCACCCTGGAGATTCTGCAGCCCTGGTTTTGGGCTCACTAGCCCAGGGCCACAGATGGGGGAGGAGCAAAGCCAGGTCACAGGTCGATACTCTGCATGTTGGGGTTAGCTCTGCCCGTGACTTTGGGTGAGACTGGAGCTATAGTTTCTGGCCTTAGTTTTTCTGTTTTCTGCCTGTGAAATGGGTGCAATAACCATCATGGATGCCTCGCACCAGGGAAGCACCAAGAAGAGTAGGTGGCAGGCTTGGCCAGTCGCACACAGAGAACCGACCAGGCAGGGAGAGCCGTGGGGAGGCCAGGGACTACCGGACAGCTTCTGAGGTCAGACACACCAAGGCTGCTCTGCTGTGGGCTCGCTGAGTCCCAGGGTTAGGTGAGAAGTGGCACAGCCCATCTCTTGTGTTGGAAGACAAGGGGACATGTCCCTGCGCAAAGATGCAGCCATGGGAACTGCTCCTGCTGTGCTGAGATGGGAGATGGGGAGGGTGGGCTTCCTGGGAGGGTGACAGGAGCCCACCCACCGGGGCCTTGAGTCCTGGAGTCCTGGGCTGAGGAGCTTGGACATCAGCTTAGGAGCACTAGAGAGCCATGGAAGTCTCTCTCTCTCTCTCTCTCTCTCTTTTAAATTAATTAACTGATTTGAAGGCAGAGTTACAGAGAGAGAGAGAGATCTTTCATCTGTTGGTTCATTTCCCAAATGGCCACATCAGCTGGGACTGCGCCAGGCTGAAGCCAGGAGCCAGGAGCTTCTTCCGAGTCTCCCACATGGGTGCGGTGATCCAAGGACTCAGGCCATCTTCCACTGCTTTCCCAGGCACATTAGCGGAGAGCTGGATAGAAGTGGAGCAGCCGGGACTCGAACTGGTGCCCATGTGGATGTTGGCATTGTATGCAGCAGCGTAACCCGCTGCACCACAGCGCCAGCCCCCTGTGGCAGGGTTTAGAGCTCGGCAGCTGCGGTCAGATTTGTGCTTTAGGATGACCGTGTGGCTGCAGTGTGAAGGCTGGGGACCAGAGCTGGGGACAAGGAGGCCAGGGAGGAGGCTCTGCAGTGGCCGGCGGTTGGGCCTAAGGCTGCGGGGCGGGGCTGCGCAGTGCCTCCAGAACCTGGGCTGAGCGGTGAGTGATGGTGCCGGCTCCGAGAGCGGGAGAGGTTGTCAGGGCTCTAAGGGAGGCAAGGGGCTGGAAGGAGGCGCGGGCTGCCTTGGAAAAGGGAGAAGGGCTTGGGAGCTCTCCTGCTGGAGGGAGAGAAGCCGGGGCTGGAAAGTGGGGTTCTACCACCCTGTCCCTGGACTCCAGAGCGCCCTGGCAGGGGCACCCATGTGCTGGTCCCAGTCAACCTGGGCCCACTGGGCACAGGGCACTCAGCAGACGGTGGCCCCAGCTCCTGTATTCTCATCCCCAGTGCTTGCCCTGTGCACCCCACTTTGGCCTCAGCTGTCCCGAATCCCACTCCCCATTCTTAGGAAATGAAGCAGACATAAAAAGCCAGTTCAGAAGGAGGTGTTCTTTTCCTCCCATGATGCATCTGGGGTCCTGGTGGGTGCTGGGACCTGCCCATGCAGAGGGGGGCACCACTAGGCACCCATCCCCTCCCTGAAGCCCTGTGCTTGATGTGAGTCAAGGCAAGGACCGGGGCCCACAGTCAGGAATCCTGGGTTCTAATCCTGGCTCTGTCTCTGCCTTCCTGTGAGGTCTCGTGCCTCAGTTTCCACCTGTGTCAGATGGGGGTTTGGTGTGGGCGATTTCTGAAGGCTGCTCAAGGCCTGACAGTCGGGACTGCGTGTGTGCACCCTGCCTGTTGGTCTGCGTGGGACTGTGTGCACCCCGTGGACCTGAGCATCTGTGCCTTGTGTGTTTCTAACACTGTGGAGGGATGCTTGGCCGTGGGATTGAGCGTGTTGGCAGAAGTCCTGTAGATGCATGCTGGGAGTGAAAGGAGGGTATGGACCATTTCCTGCTTAGAGATGAAGCACAGAACCAGGACCGAGGAAGCAGACGTGGGCAGCTTGGCTCAGCTCCCCAGGGCCACCCGCTGTGCAACAGGAGACAGCCTGTGGACAGCCCAGCCTGGGAGCACGTGAGCTGGGGGTGGGTGGCTGGGGGCGTGTGTATGTGGGCAGAGGGGGCTGCGATCAGGACAAAGGCACCAGGTCACATCTCTGCCTCTGTAGGGCTGAGGCTGGAGAGAGGAGGAGGCCCTGGAAGGCCTGGGCCTGGCAGGCTCCCTGTGGTCCTGAGCCCTGGCTGTCTCCACTCCCTGTATTTGTGGGAGCCCCCTGTGGCAGTGGCACTGCCTGCCCTGGAAAGTGCTGGAGGCTGGGCGAGGCAGGAGGCTGAAGGACCTGTTTTTCCTGTTTTCCAGAGTTCCCTGCAGCCGGTCCAGGCGGGTGCATTCATGAGTGAGGAACCTGAGCACCGAGCATCCTGACAGCGAGAACAAGGGCCGGTCAGGTCCAGGTGTGGGAGGGTGGGCCCATGGGCGGGGAGCCTGGGGCGGGTGTGGGCATGCTGTACATGTGCCTGCACAGAACTGCACTTAGATCAAGGGGCTCCAAGGCAGGTGCTGGTCCTGTCTCTGTCTTGCATCCCAGGCTGGGATGCATCCAGGCTTTGGAGCAGAACAGCGCCGGGTGTCAAGTTTTCCAGTTCCTGGCAGCGTGACCTTGAATAGCAGTAGATCCTCCAAGGTGGGGCAGGAGATCAAATGGAGAGGCCATGCGGAAGGTGCTCTGCCCATGGCTGGCCTCCTCGGAGCAGGGGTGGTGGACGGGCTCCAGGATAGGGAACTGACCCATGCCCCGAGCCTGAGGTGAGCCAGATGGACGCATGCGGCCAGCCCTAGGCACCTGAGCTGTCTGCAGATGCCTGAGCCCGGGGCTCTGCCCCAACCCCTCCCCTGACAGGGGCAGGGTCCTCTGGGCCCCTGCAACTCCGAGAGATGGACCTGTCTGGGCAGGAACAGACCCCAGTGGGCTGGGCCCCCAGGAGGCCTGAGCTGTCTCCTGGCCACCCAGGGTCAGCTGCGGAGAAACCTTCATGGTCCTTGTCTTCTGGGAGGCCTCAGAGGGGCGAGGGAAAGGAAGGCGGCTTCACCAAGCCCAGCACTTAGGTGCTCCCGCAGCCCCTGGTGCTGGTACCACTCATTCATCCTTGATGTCCCTTGTTCTGTAACAGTCGCCTTGCTCCAGCCTCTTGCTGGCTGACAGCCCTCAAGGAGCCCCTGGAATGCACTGGGGAGTGGCGACAATGTAGCGAGCCGAGGAAGGTCCCGAGGAGTCAGGCGTGAGGCTGGGGAGTGTCGGTGCGGGGCACCCGGGGGTGGCTGGAAGGGGGTGCAGGGTTGGGGGAGGGCTTTCCAGGAAGGACAGCTGAGCTAAGGCGGGGACCCTGCAGGGGCTCATGGGTCCTCTCCAGACTGGCAGCTCCTCAGGGCAGAGCCCACCAGTGCTGGCGGCCGAGTGGGAGCCAGAGAGGGGTGTGGGACCAGGCCGGTGGGGGGTGGGGTCAGGAGAGGCAGCAAGGGCGGCCCTGAGGGGAGGGCTAGGGGCACAGCTGGCTCCCTAACGTGGGGGACTCTGGGCTCAAGAAGTTGTGCTCATGGCTGAGGGACAGGCTGGCCCTGGGCCACGGTGATGGAGGCCCCAGCTGGCCTGGAAGAGGCCACCTTCCCCACCCCCTTCCCCGTGTCAGAGATTCCTCCGTCAGCATTGGGCAGGAAGCTGCCACGGAGCACGAAGATGTCGAGTGCAAAGGGAAGTCGCACTGACCACAGCCCTGAGGACAGAGCAACAGCTGGAGCTGCGCCGGGAGCCTGGGGGTCTGGGGCTGCATTGTCAAGGCTGGGGACTCTGCTCCGCGGGGGGTCCGAGGCTCAGGGTGGGGTCGGGGGGGGAATGCCTGATGTCTCCTGGGTTCTGCAGCAGAGCTGGACTCAAACCCAGGGCCGGGGCTCCCGGCTCCAGGGCTGGGCTCCGTCCCTGATGGAACAGCCCCCGCCCCCACCCCAAGCACCTCCATCTCCCAGCCGGGCCCTGCTCCTCCTGCAGCTCTGTGAGCTCCACAGCCAGTGGTCTCAGCCTCGGTCCGTCCCGCACTTCCCCTGTCTGATGCCGAATCCTCGCCCCCGTTCCCGACCACTCCCCACCCCCACCCCTTCCTTCAGGGACCCGTGCCCCAGGCTCGGGCCCGGGCAGCTCTGAGGTCTGCCCCTCACAAGGTGCCCAGACCTGGCCTCAGCACGGGCCCCAGGGCTGCTCCCCTGGCCATCACGGAGCCCTGGTCGGCCCCTTCCGGCTCCTGCGGCCAGAGGCCTGAGACAGCTGCCTCAGGGCTTCTGGGAAAGGCCGCTGGGAGCCAGGGCTGGAAGCTCACGGCACCCCAGCGTACTGACCATGGGCACAGCGGCAAGCAGTGCTCAGAAGGAGACTGTGTGCGCAGAGGGAACCGGGGGCCAGGGGCTTGGTCACCGGGCGTGGCGTGCTGAGGCTGCAGGCTGTCACTTCAGCAGGTGGAGGTGGCGGCGTGAGTGGGTCCCCAGGAGCAGCATGAGTGAGCTGGGGTGGGGAGGGGGTGGGGGGTTGCTGGTGAGGCTGGCAGAGGCCGGCTGTGAAAACCACAAGACCAGGCTGAGGCCTTGCATCTCCAGAGAGCTGGTGGGTGGGAGCCATGGAGGAATGGCATCAGCTTTGCACAGAGACCCCTCTGGAGGTGTGCGGGGGGTGAGGCTGCTACAGTCATTCCAGCAAGAAGAGGCGGAGGCCAGTGCTGGGCCAAGGGGAATGCTGGGCCCATCCTGGGCAGGAGGTCTCAGCCCGCCACAGCCCCCACCCCGTCCCCTCCCGACGTGGCCCTGCAGGAGCCCCTCTCTGCCTCCCCTCTTGAGTTCTGCCTTGACCCCCTGGGGAGCCATCTGTGTCCATGATGGGCGTTGACAGCGCAGACTCCCTTCCTCCTGGGTGCATGTGCCTCTCAGCCCGCCTATCCCAACCTCACGGACCCCGAACTGCTGCTGGGAGGCCAGAGCCAGGGCTAAGGGGGTGGAGGGCCCCAGGGTCTCAGGTGAGAGGACTCACACGTCGTCTGCCCCTCTGTCCACCCACACTGTCCCACACCTGGGCACCTGCTGTTACAGGGTGCTCACCACCTCCCACGGCTCCTCCCGTGCAGGATGGAGCTGCAGCCCAGCACTGGCCCTGTGACCTTGCCCAGCTGACCGACGTGACCTGTGTCTTGGCTTCTTGGTTGCAAAGCTGGGAGTGACCATCCGGCTCCCGGCCGTGTTGTAAGGATCTGTGTCAGTAGCTTTTGTAAGGGCACAGGAGGAGTGGCTTTTGCAGCACATCGGCCCCTCACAGCGTCAGACAGGTGCCCTGTGCATTCTGCACACTGCCCGCCCTGCCCCCAGCACCTCTAGGCACCTCTTTGCCCTGCAGACCAAGAAGCCTGTCCCCTGCCCCCCACATTGGCGGGGGGAGAGAAGGAAGAAGGTGGACCACCCACTCAGGTCTGCCTGGGGGTCGGAGCCAGAGGGTTCGGTGCTGGCTCACCAGGGCAGGGTGGGGCATGGGCAGATGGGGACGCTGGCCCTGGAGAAGCCAGATTTGCCCCACCACAGAAGCACCCCTGCCATGTGTCCATCTCTACCGAAGACTTCCCTGACCCTCAGGGAGTTCCCCGCGCGTCCGCAGCCTCTCAGGTGTGGGCGGGGCAGGGCTGCAGTGTTCAGAGGCAGGAAGGCTGTGGGGTTGGGTGCCCAGGGAATGTTTGCTGAGAGTGAGTGAGTGACTGAAGAGGGAGCCCCCTTGGAAACTTCCTCAAACACCCAAATACCAAGCCCAGGGCCAGAGCCCCTCCCACCACCACCCCGCCCCCCCCCCCCCCCCCAGGAAAAAGGTAGAACTCTGGTGAGCCTGGTGATGCTGCTCAGAGGACACGCGTGGCAGTGGGCACTGGGAATGCTGCCACTCAGTGAGCCTCCTTGGCGCCTTCCTGTGAGCCTGAAATTGGAGCCTGGGGGACCCTCACATCCTCAGATTCCAGGGCTCGGAATCAGTCCTGGGGGTGGAGCCACGATCCTGAGGCAGGGTCAGCACACTTTGTCAAAATGTCAAGGGGTCAGTGTTGTCCATTTTTCAAGCTCTGCCGTCTTTTAAAAAAAAAAATTTTTTTTTGACAGGCAGAGTGGACAGTGAGAGAGAGAGACAGAGAGAAAGGTTTTCTTTTTACTGTTGGTTCACCCTCCAATGGCTGCTGTGGCCAGCGCGCTGTGGCCGGTGCACCGCGCTGATCCAAAGCCAGGAGCCAGTGCTTCTCCTGGTCTCCCGTGCAGGTGCAAGGCCCAAGGACTTGGGCCATCCTCCACTGCACTCCCTGACCATAGCAGAGAGCTGGCCTGGAAGAGGAGCAACCGGGACAGAATCCGGCGCCCTGACCTGGACTAGAACTCGGTGTGCTGGTGCCGCAGATGGAGGATTAGCCTATTGAGCTGCAGCGCTGGCTCTGCCGTCTTTTTTACAACGACACTGCTCTTTGTAAACGGGGAGGCACGGTTGTGTTCAGCGAAAGCTTTATTTACAGGAACAGCTGGAGCTGGCTCTGGGGCTGCAGTTTGCCCACTGTACTGCTAAAGCCTTGAGATTCTATGATCCTTACACCCACGGGTCTCGTGCATCCTCCAGGCCCCAGGGCCCAGGGAGAGATCCTGGTCAGGTGGGCGCGAGAGGCCTGCCCACCGAGTCCCGCCCTGGCCCTGACCGCCCCTCTCTCCTCCGCAGGGTGATGGCAGCAGGCTCGGACCCCTGGAATGGCACTGCGAACGGCACGTGGGAAGGGGATGAGCTGGGCTACAAGTGCCGCTTCAATGAGGACTTCAAGTACGTGCTGCTGCCCGTGTCCTACGGCACCGTGTGCGTGCTGGGGCTGTGTCTGAACGTCGTGGCGCTCTACATCTTCCTGTGCCGCCTCAAGACCTGGAACGCCTCCACCACCTACATGTTCCACCTGGCCGTGTCCGACGCGCTCTACGCCGCCTCCCTGCCGCTGCTGGTCTACTACTACGCCCGCGGCGACCACTGGCCCTTCGGCGCGGTGCTCTGCAAGCTGGTGCGCTTCCTCTTCTACACCAACCTGTACTGCAGCATCCTCTTCCTCACTTGTATCAGCGTGCACCGCTGCCTGGGCGTGCTGCGGCCCCTGCTCTCCCTGCGCTGGGGCCGGGCGCGCTACGCCCGCCGGGTGGCCGCCGCCGTGTGGGTGCTGGTGCTGGCCTGCCAGGCCCCTGTGCTGCACTTCGTAACCACCAGCGCTCGCGGGGGCCGCGTCACCTGCCACGACACCTCGGCGCCTGAGCTCTTCAGCCGCTTCATGGCCTACAGCTCCGTCATGCTGGGCCTGCTCTTCGCCCTGCCCTTCGCCGTCATCCTGGTCTGCTACGTGCTCATGGCTCGGCGGCTGCTCCGGCCGGCCTACGGCACCACAGGGGGCCTGCCGCGGGCCAAGCGCAAGTCAGTGCGCACCATCGCCGTGGTGCTGGCTGTCTTCGCCATCTGCTTCCTGCCCTTCCACGTCACCCGCACCCTCTACTACTCCTTCCGCTCCCTGGACCTCAGCTGCCACACGCTCAACGCCATCAACATGGCCTACAAGGTCACCCGGCCGCTGGCCAGTGCCAACAGCTGCCTCGACCCTGTGCTCTACTTCTTGGCTGGCCAGAGGCTCGTGCGCTTTGCCCGCGATGCCAAGCCGCCCACAGACCCTAGCCCTGAGCCCCCAGCCCGCCGCAGGCTGGGCCTGCGCAGATCCAACAGGACAGACACCAAGAGGACAGCAGATGTGTCGGCCAGCAGTCAGGACACACGGCAGACGGCGTGCGCTGCGGCCAGTGGCGAGAACACTAAGGACATCCGGCTGTAGGCCCTGAGCCCCTCGGGCTGTGCACCTGTCCAGGGAGGGAGTCGTGGGGGACCAGGGCTTGTTCAGGTGGGAGATGCACCATCCGCGACCCAGGCCGGTCATCCTGGGGGTGATGACCCTGTGGTCTGTCCCTTGGCAGAGTCACCCGTCCCTGTGGCCCCCAGTCATCATTTGCACGTGCTCAAATAAGGGTTCTAGAAAGGCCACAGCCACCTGGCTTCCAGGCTAGCAGCTGGCCGCACCTGCTACACTACTCCAGCCTAATGAAGTTGGATGCAGAATCAGGCCCAGAGAGGGAGGTGGTTTACCAACGTCATGCAACAGGCACAGGGCCTGGGCTCCCCTGGGTAAGTGGTCAGGACTGAGTGCCCACCATGATGTGGAGCAGGGCTGGGTGCCACGGTGGGCTCAGCCCTGAGTGGCATCCCAAGCCCAAGGGATGGACATCTGGGGACTCCCCAGGGCTGGGAACTACTTCGAGGCTGCGACTTCTACTAAAGGTTATGTTGCCTGCTGGGCCATGGCCTGTTGCTGTCGGGGGCTGGGGGCGTGGCCTGGGAAGCCTTCACCACCCACACAAGGGCCCTTCTGACCTGTTCTGTTCTGCCACCTGCCTTCCTCCCAGCTACTTCAGGGGGTGTCTCACCCAGGGGTCCCCTTTCCAGAGCCCAGATCACCCCCACCTTAAAGCCAGTTGGCGTCAGTGCTCAGCGCTGTGCTGGGCACAGGGAAGTCTCGTGGGTCCCATCCTTGTGCTCCTAGTTCAATTGACAGACATCATGAGCTGGCAATGTTAAACCATTTAATTGGGTCTGGGGGAGTGGGGTGCAGGGAGCCCCTTACCTGTGGCACTGGCCATGGCCATGGTGCAGATCTGCTCTGGCCAGTTTCAAACCACCACCACCATGTCAGCTCCTTTGCAAAATTCCTGTGTGTTTAACAGCTGGCCCTTGCAAGCAGGCGTGAGCTGCTCCAGCATACCATGGTTCACGCTGAGTGGCTGGGGCCGTGGCCAGGGGTCAGGGGAAATTTCCTGGAGTAGGTGGGGTGACTCCTGAGTTGTGGCTTCTGAGAAAAGCAGTTATTTCACAGGAGAACACCCAAGTATAGGACGCAGGCTGGGCAAAGACAGGAAGGCAAGGCAGCAGGCTGTGTGTGCAGGAGCCACAGGCAGGCAGGTGAGCCGGCAGGTGTCCAGGCTCAAGGCCGAGATGAGGCCAGGTGGGGGCAGGCTCACAAGGAGGCACTCTCCTTGCCCCGACCTGAGGCTCTCTGTGCGCTTGGGTAAGTGGGAGAGACACAGTCCTCCTCCCGGGCAGCCCTCTGCCCTCTGGGGAAACCCCAGCTGCACAGCTTCATGGTTGGGCACAGGCTGGGTCGGGCATAGGCTGGGGGAGAGGGGCCTCAGCTGTGACAGCCTCTGGGGCCCTGCCAGGATCTGTGGAGCTCAGCGAGGCAGGGGCCAGCCCCGGCCCTTGGGCAGGGAAGGGCAAAGCTGCCCTCTGGGCGAGTCCTTGCCATGGGGGCCCACCCTAGTGAGAGAGGGCCCTCTACTCCTCCTGCGGCCTCTGCACCCTCCCCACTGTGCCTCCCTCTCTGTACAGTCTGCGTGTGCGGCTCCCTCACGTGACTGGGGCCCATCACAGGCCATGACTCAAATGATTACTCGGCGTTGTGCAATGTGGGTGAGCTGCCCAGAACAGCGTGAGGCCGCCTGGGCTCGATACTTCCCGTAACGTGGCCGGAGTCCCTCTGAGCCATCCTGGTGACTTCCTCCTTCAGGTGGTCCCAAGCCTGTGTCTTTCTCACCGGCTGCTACTTGGGCTGAGCCCCATCCCAGTGCACAGGGAGCCCCTACCCAGGTGAGAGGCTTTGCTGGCCAGGAGTGTGGATGCTCAGCTGGGGCCCCTCTGTCCTGCTTAGAGCTGGAGCCAGGGGCTGGTGCGACGTGGCTTTGCATGTGTGTCCATGGTTGGGGTGAGGCCACGGCTGCCTGGCCCCGGCTCCCCAGCCCCATCCTCTAGTGCTGCCCAACCCCCACTCAGACCAAGGCCCTGAGAGTCCCCTGGTGGGTGGAGACCACTTTGGCCTAGCCCCGGGAACTGTCCCTGAGCCCCTGCCAGCAGGCATCTAAGGACCTGGGTGTGGGGGGGTACCTAGTCACCACCTAATCTGGCGGCAGCAGGGGAGGAGATGAGTGGGGACCCAGGGTCTCACCTCCGAGCCCTCGCGTGGACATCTGGTCTGCTGCTTGGTGTGCTGCCACCTGCCAGGCGTGTGAGGCTCTGGCCGCTGCCGTCTCATGCTATTTTCAGCCCAAGTAAGATCAGGATTTTCCACTCCTGGCCCCAGACCATTGTCTAGCAGCTTCCTGGGGGAACCCGCCTGACCTCAAAATAGCCCCTCTTGGCCTCATGGCCTCCCTGCCCTGCCCACCTCCCCACCCTGACGTCACTTCCCAGGGCTGCTGACTCCACTGCAAAAGGGCAGGTGAGTTGCCCGGGATGATCCAGCCTGGCTGGAGACTCAAGGCCACCGAGGGGTGGGGCCTTGCCCAAGGTCATCCAGCAGGTCAGCGTGGCGCCCGGACGTGAGCCAAGGGCTCAGGCACTCCTGCTGCCCTGCCACCCTGCAGGGCAGGCTGTGCCTTTGTGAGAATTGTGTTGTCATCCGACCACCCGGCTGAGGCCTGGGACGCAGGGTGGGGTCTGGGAGGAAGGCGGTGGGGGGGGTCAGTGCGGGGCAGTGATGCAGCAGCAGCTGCTCCCAGTAAACCCTGAGTGCCCGGAGGGGCCGGGAGCTCACACACTACCCCGTCCCAGGCGCCACGCAGCGCCCTGTCCCGTCCAGCACGGGAGCCCTTCCTCCCCGCAGCTCTGTGAAGCAGGCACCGTCGTCCATGCAGTCCACAAGCCAGCAGGGAGGAGGCGGGGGGTGAGGTCTCCAGCTTCTTCAGGCAGGAGGGGGTGCGTCGAGGCTGAGGCCAGGGCCCCCCGACATCCAGACGAAGCCCCTTTCTCTGACCCCACGTCACTTGCCAGCCCTGCGGGGCCAGAGGCAGGATGGCAGAGGCAGCAGAGCCAGGACAGGGACCCCAGACCGCCCGCTGTGAAGGCGGTCTCTGCTTCTGCAGCCTGGTGCCTCCGGGAAGCCACTCAACCGCACAGCACCTCAGCCCTCTCATCCGAGTGAAGCTCCACCCCACAGAGGGCGTTGGGAGGCTCGCCCCAGCCGGCACCCAGGAAGCATGTGGCATGGTGCCCAGCGTGTGGGAAGCCAGGGCAGCGGGGCTGACATCACTTCCTGTGTCCCCACCTTGGAGGAGAGGATGGTCCCTGGTTAGGGCCCTGGGGCAGGTGTTGGAGGCGGAAGCAGGTCCATGCGGGGTGAGGGTGGCACCACCCTCTGTCCTGCCACGCTGCAGGGGGCTTCTGGGCACCCAGGCCTGAGCGTTTCCAGACCCTTGTCCAGGTGCCTGCCCATGGGAGGGTGGCAGGGAGAGGGGACAGCGGGAGGAGGGAGAGGAAGAGAGCTCACCCACCCCTGGCAGCAGGTGGGGCCAGGCCAAGCATGAGGGTCTGTAGCCACACCTTGGACCACCACGAACCCAGAGACCCAGGCTGAGAGGACAGGCCTGGGGCTGGGCCAGAGCAGGCAATGAATGGACCTGGGGGTGACCTGTGACCTGTGGGTGACCTGTGGGTGACCTGTGACCTGGGGGTGACCTGTGATCTGGGGGTTACTGGAGGCCCCTTGCCGGCCTTCTCTGGGCCACCATCTGGGACATGGAGACCTTGCTGCCCGTTCTATTCCTTCCGCCTCAGTTAAGGCTCTGGTGTCTACATCATCATCAGAGCCCAACCACAGCTGCCCCCGAGGCAGTCCTGAGAGCCGCTGGGAGTGGGGGCAGTGAGTCTCCCCTAGGTGACCAGAGAGGTGCAGTGACCCCACTGCTGCCACGCAGGGCAATGTCCAGGGCCCTCCTCCCCTGGGGTGGCAGGTGGAGCCTGGCAGGACTGAGCGGGCTGCAGGGGAGGCGTGGGGGTGAGCCTGAATTGAACTGCCTTCCCCCCCAATCCTCAGGTACCCGTGGCTCGTGTGGGTCATCTCCTGTCTCTGGGCCAGTCTCCCCATCTTCAAGGGGGTTCCGCTCGGCCCAGCCATTTTTCTCCAGTCGGGGCCTCCAGACTCGCTTCTGACTGACTAGCTCAGCTAGGGGCCAACGGTGGCCCTGCCCCAGGAACAATGGCCAGGTGCGGCTGCTAGCCCCTCAGCCCCAAACCCTGTCCCCGGCCCCACCCCGCACTCTGCACTATTCTCAGCCTTTGCAGATGGAGTCAGAGGAGGATTTTCCACTCCCGGCACAATGCCTGCCCCGGACCATTGTCCAGCAGTGACGTGGGGGATCTTCTGCTCCCAAAATATCTCGTGCCCCGCCCCTGCCTGCTCCCAGCACCTCCCTGATGTCACTTCCCGCGCTGGAGGCCCCTGTGAGCCCCTGGGCTGCGGCACGTGAACGCCTGGGAGACACAGCCAGCAGGAAGGGACTTCCTCTCCTGGCCAGACCCCAGGGATTGCCTGACAGCCCAGAGAGGGCTGTGCCTTGCCTGAGGTCGGCGGCCAGGGGCGAGTGCGGGCTCCCTGGTCACCTGCAGGACTCTAGCCTGTGCCTCCTGGAATGGAGAGCTCACTCTGTGTGTGTGTGTGTGTGTGTGTGTTTTAAGATTTACTTATTATTTTATTTGAAAGCCAGAGGCAGAGGGAGAGAGAGGTCTTTCATCCACTGGTTCACTCCCCAGATGGCCACAACAGCCAGAGCTATGCTGATCCGAAGCCAGGAGCCAGGAGCTTCTTCCTGGGCTCCCACATGGGTGCAGGGGCCCAAGCACTTGGGTCATCTTCTACTGCTTTCCCAGGCCATAGCAGAGAGCTGGATCAGAAGTGGAGCAGCCGGGACTAGAACCAGTGCCCATATGGGATACCGGCACTGCAGGCAGTGGCTTTTCCCCGCTACACTACAGTGCCAGCCCCTTCTTTTTTTCTTTTGAGACAGTGAGAGAGCACTCCCACGTGCTGGTTCACTCCCCGAATGCCTCCAACAGTTGGGGCAGTGCCAGGCTGATGTGGGAGCTGGAACTCCATCCAAGTCTCCCACGTGGGTGGGTGGGGGCACCCAAGGACTTGAGCCATCACCACTGCCTCCAGGGTCTGCATTAGCAGGAAGCTGGAATCGCAAGTGGAGCTGGGACTTAAACCCAGACACTGTGCTGTAGGCCGGGGCATCCCAACTGCTGTAGCACTCGCCTGCCCCAAGAGCTCCCTGGATGAGCGCCCTGGGAAGAAGATGGAGTGACCCGGAAGGGGGTGTGGCTCACATGCTGACCTGTAGCGGCGAGCTCTCTGCAGGGACAGCCTGTTCTCCGCCCCCCCACAATGTGACTGTGATGACCACATGTTTGTGCCCCCTACGATTTTCACATTGAGACCCTAACCTTCAAAGTGGCGGTCTCAGGAGGC